TTGATGTCACCGGTGCCCTGGAAGTAGATGTACTTCTTGACCGTGATGAGGTTAGGAGCAAACTTCCAGACGTCTTCCCGGTCATCGATAATACACACCATGGAATCGCCACAGGGGAAAAGGTTTCTGCAAGGGACGTGCAAACCACATTATCAAAAAGTTATTTGTTCCTAACGCTCTGTCTGTCTACTAGCAGTATAAAAAAAAATAGCAGTTCTTACTGGATCCCCAGGTACATGACCCTGAAAATGCATTAACTTGCAATTACCGCCTTGTAATATGACTTCGTGATTATCTCATTACTGAACAATTTCTTCCAGGATCGCAATATTACCATTCCTTATTAGCTGACAAGATTACATAGTTCCCAGTAACATAATTAAAACGAAACATTAAGAATAATAATATAAACAGTTAATGGTTTAAATGGATTTAATTACATTGCAACATAATTGTAAGGAATCCAAATCGCAGAATGACACAAGCACTGATAAATCACAAAGTTAGAAGTTAGCAGACTTGTTGGCGAAAAGGGAGTAATGATTTGTAGTAGACGGAATGAAATAATATTAGACTTGGATAAAAGATAAGAGTCAATCATGAAGGCCCTATACTATCTATCTATATTATTATTAGCTATTTTATTACTGTATATTTGTTTGTGCGCCAACGTGATATGTTGCATGCATACTATGCAGTTCACTCCAACAAAATATTCCATATACATGTATATTTTGAGAAATCCTAGGCCTTCGCTATACACTCACCTAGAATATGCACATCTCTCTTATGTAAGAAATCAGTTTACAGCGGGCAACCCAAAAAAGCATAAAAATATATTTATATTTTAAAAATGTTTTTGTGAAGCCAGAAAAAACGCCATCTCGCTCCCAACCTGTCTGATTCAAACACATCTCAAACCTCAGGGACACAGCGCCCCCTGTGGCCTCCCGGGCACCTGCAGGCTCGCGCGGTGCTGCCAGTGAGGGGCATGCCTCTCCACCAATCAGGGCTCCTCCTCCGTCACAAGCATCAAAAGATAGGCAGTTCGAAGGCGGGCAGGTGAGAGGAGTCTGTCCACATTTCCTCATCCTCCCCCCCGTTTCTTACAAGAAGTTCTGAATGTCTAGGGACCCCTTTCAAAAGACCACATCCACCACAGCGCTTTTTAAAAGCCTGTCTCCATTTCTCCTTCATCAAAACGGTATTTGCAGTACAGCATGGAAGGAGGACTAGCTTGACAAGAACATAAGAACATTTATCAGATACGTTTCCCACACTTGCCGAGCATCACGAATTTCTTCATGGCTGCAGGTGTCCTGTGATCAGACAGAGCACGCAAACAGCACCTGGCTCAGGCAGCACAGTTACATGATGTTCATAGACAGGAGAAGATCTCTTAGGTGCCGTCATAAGAGATGTAAATGTAAAATTTACATGTAAAACGGAGGTCCTGACTTCATTAAAAACCCCAGGGCATTTCTAAAAGAAAATAGGGGTGTTACCCCAGTGTCCTGGCCAAATTTCCTCCATGCCTTTACCAATCATGGCTCTCTAATAATCTCATCTCCAAACTGGCTTCATGACTCTGTTCTCCTCCCCACTTATAGCTGATGTGTGGTGAGCTTTCTGGCTGCCGTTGCATCATCCAGGTGGGGGTTACACATTGGTGGTGGTGGAGGGGAGTCCCCATTACCTGTAGAGCGCTTTGACGGAACATCCAGAAAAATTCTGCATAGCTGTAAGGAATTAATATCATCATTCAGGTCATCCAGCATGTTGGATAGTTAGCGGTTGATTCCAAGGATCTCATCCAGCTGTTTCTTGAAATAAACCAGGGCATCAGCCTCAACAACATGTCTGGGACAGCATGTCAACAACAAAGAAAGAAAGTCTTTCTAAAGAGAGTGTGGAAATTTGGATGCTAAAAAAAAAACGCATTTTGATGGTTTATTCTTTTGGCTCTGAGCATATCAGTGTAAAAGCTTAATTTGAAGCTTTGAAAGAATTATCTTTCCTGTCTAGGTTTTCATCTGACCACTGGGTATTCAATATAACCCCCTAATCATGCAAGAGTTACTAAAAAGGAGCATTTTTTAAGTGAGTTGACACCACTGTTCTTATTCCTGTCTAGATATATACTGTACTTATCTGCCCCATCGTCCACACAGAAGACAGGGACGTCTACTCGAGTGTGACCTGGTCAGGGGTACCCATTCCTGCTCCTGGGAATGTCCACACCAGTTGGTTTTCATTAACCAACACTTCATTAACCTCATAACGGGATTCATTTAAACTCCGTTTTCAGGCCCTAAATGCACTGGAAGCACATTTGAGGTTTCGTCATTCTGCAGACGAAAGGACAAGCGCAGACGTTTGCTTTTGGAGGATGTTCTTCCACTATTTCTCTCCATGTCGGCAGGTCAGATCTAATGAAATACAGTTGCCGCCGCTTCTGATACATCAAAGGCTGAGTCTCCACCATGACAAGTTTTGGAAATTAATTAAAATGTTCTGCTGTGACAATATCTAGAATCACATTCACAGGTGCACAACGGCGGACACTGAGATAGAAATATCAGACTGACAAGATTCCACACGACAAGAGAACCGTGTTCTACCGTCAGTGTTATCCATTATATTTTCTTCACTGATGAGTTTTTTTACGGAATGGAATTTAAAGCATATTGGTCAAACTCTGAGTAATTACTGCTGTAACAACAACATCCATATTCAGGAAGCGTTCAAATTTTTAAGCTTTAATTAATAAATGATTTGATGTTTAATTATTCAGGTGTTGCAATTCCTTGCATTTAAGCACGGGATTTGCAAGTATTTCTCTCTGCCACGTTGTAATACAATAAGACAGTTTTTAAGTCAGTACTTACTTTCAAGTACGTTTTTCTTCCCTCACCTAATTTTCCCAAGAGCATTGCTGTACATAGTCACTATCCTGTGCCTTTGTTGGCTTGAGGGTCAGAAGTAAAGCTGAAATGTAATCCCAGCTTGTTAGTACAGAAGTCTTAATAAGTCAACAATAAATCTGCCCCATTCTGCAGCTGACACAAAAACCCCACATACTATCCACCACCTAAAAACTGTAACTTATTTAGAATATTTAAATAAACCTACATAAAAACAACAACCTCCATCCATCCACCTATAATTTTTGTAACAGCTGTTAAATCTAACACCTATACCAATTAAATGTCTAAGATAGCACATCCGGTCTATTTAATTAATTCTCACAGGGATCACTAGCATTTTTTTAAAGTGAAGATTATTGATGAAATTCAAGAAAAAAATTGAATTGATTTATTTTTTGTGTAATCCCCCCGATCTGGAATCGACCCTTGTGATTTTTCATGGCAGACCCTCCAACCACACAAAGTGGTGAAAGAGTAAGCAGTCCAACCCACCCACCTCACAAACCGAAGGATCAGTGCTGACTGGAGATGTACATCCCTCAACAACAGCACTGCCTCTTACTGGAGGATCAGTTCTGATTGGAGGAGAGTTATGTCCCTCACTAACAGCTCCACCTCATACTGGGGGTCTTGCCCTGATTGGAGGAGAGTCGTGTCCCTCACCAACAGCACCGCCTTGTACTGGAGGATCAGTGTCGATTGGAGGAGAGTTGCATAATTCACCAATAGCACCACCCCATAAAGGAGGATCAATCCAGATTGGAAGAGAGGACTGTCCCTCACCAACAGCACTGGTCCATATCAGAGCATCAGTGCCATTCGGAGGAGAGCTGCTTTCCCTCACTGACTGCACAGCAAACCTTTAAGGTCCCGGGAGGCTGCTGCTGTCACAGAGAGCCCTACCTGTCCTACACTTCCCACCCTGCAGTTGCTCAGACAATTGTATACTGTCACTACAGGAATCCAGGGACAGTCTGCTAATTAGCAGACCCAGACTCGAACCTGTGACACCTGGATTAGACCTTTCCATGCTGAGCCACTCATCCACTACCTATTAACATGGCATGTAACTGCATGAGGACTGCCTAACCCTTCAGGTAACAAGTCTAACTACAGCCGATAACAGAGACTGTGTGATCTTCTGGGGAGTTTGCTCCATCACTGATAGAGATACATTTTCAAGCCTACACAAAGCACAATTAGCTGAAAAAACACTTCCAGGGAAGCTCTGCTTGCTCCATTGCTCCTCATTCTCTCATAAAACACAGGGGAGTTTCTACTTGCTGCGTAATTAGATTACAATACAGATATTTAGTCTGAATGTTTGTAGAAACAAGATTTCAGTACAGATATAGTTAACATTCAGATAAGGTGTCAGGTCAAAGGGATTAAAAAAATCCAGTGATGTTACATGCTCATCACCTGTGTCACACAGCAGAAACACAGAATAACTGTACTGGAAGAGACACAGAAGAAGATATTCCTTCTTTACATGCCAAGTTTTAAAAATCAGCAAAGCGTTCATAAATGCAAAGCAGACCATCTTTTATCGCAAGCAACAATGCAAACTAAGAAAAGCTCAAAAACACCAGATAAATAAGAAAAGAGTTACTTAAAAGCCAAGTGCAAAATGTCAGTTTCACTGGGACAGTTTTTCCTTTACAAAAGGCAAGAAAGAATGTATTATCTGGCAAGAAACAGCCATTCAAAAGATCATTTATCTATATCAGTTAATATATATTAGTTATTTTCTAACCAACTGTGCTGAAAAAATATAAATCCTCAAAATGAATGTGCTCAATTTTCATTAAATAAATACTATAATTTGAGGTAATTAAATCAATTTGTATATTGTACAGCCCTGACATGTATTTACTTCAGCAACTAGACCTTCAAAGAAACATCCATTCATCTTTCCTAATGAGAGCCTGGCAGTCCAAGAACAGTGAATCCTGTTTAACTGTCCAACTTACTATTCTTCCCACAAGAAGCATTAAACAAAACTAATACAGTACAAGAATACAACTGTTCGTAATGCATGAATACGGCAAACTGAGTTTCTAATTACGGTACTCCTAATCTTTTAAAGACATAGCCGTGAATAACTGTAATATCATAATTTGTGAAGGCAGTTTAAAGCTGTTTTGGCAGGGCGATCAGTGAGAGAACTGAATCATTAAGAGGTGTAGAGCAGTGGTTAGCATTCTAGACTTAACTGGAAGGTCATGGGTTCAATTCCCAAGTAAGACATGGCTGCTGTACCCTTGAACAAGAACTGCCATCTGCATTGATCCAGTAAAAGAAAAAATAGCTGTATAAATCGCTACAAACGTAAACCACTAATTATGATTTGTTGATTTAGGCTGCAGAAATCACAATTTGCTAGTCGATTAGCAGTGAGGACGTCCTTGGTTTAGTTTTTCCCCTCAAATACTGTGTCCATGTACAAATCTTAGCAAAATACAGTTAAAATGCTTCATTTTTGCTGATGGTTTAAAGTCAACAGTAATATTTCTTCTAATAAATGCCACATTGCAAAACATTATTTCATTAGATAACCCTAATGTCCTTCTTTTACTTTTTGTTTTTTACTGAAAACACCTACAACTAACTCCTTTTGGTGTCAAGCTACGGGTTTCTGCATTTTGGTCTGTTTTAAAGATCAAGGTGGACACCAGCCCCAGCGGGTGTGACTGTTGTGCACAACTGACCAGTTGACAGGGAGCATCGAGTTGGCGACCTGGCTGAACGGTGCTACAGTGATCAAGTCCTGGGACCTCACTGCCTGTGCCACACTTCCTGAGAGCTCGTCCTGCCATGACAACACGCCAGCAGGGCAAAGCCGTGTCCTCACAAAGCTCATATAAGAACGGCTTTCTTCCGGCTTGAGCTGTGGATACCCTACTCGACAGGCCAGAGCCACACTGAACATAAGCTGGGACTACATGCAATATTGTGTGAACAGGCACATGCTTGTCCAAACTGTACGAGACAAATGGGACAGATTCCAACAGAACAGCAGAAGTGTCCTGGTGCAAAGCAGGCATCACAGATGTACAGCTTGTGTGGGAAGACCCAGTGTATAAATGTCCGGAACTCAAGCATATTCAGAAATGGATACACGTTTACATGTACAATGGCTGCCATATTTAACAGTTACTAACCTGGAAGTAATACCGTGGAAAGGACAGGCTACACTGCCTGTGTACAGTATGTTGTTGTTAAATTCTGTTTTAAGGCATGGACATCAGTAGTAACATCAGCACTCAAGATGTATATATATATATTTAAAAGTGCAGTCAAAGCACAGGATTACAGCACAGCCTGCAGTAACTCACATCCAGCCTCGGTCCAGCGTAACTCAAAACAAAAACCCTACCTTAGGTTCCCCGTTTTGGAGAAGGGATCAATGCATTCATCTCTCGACAAAATCCGATGGGAGAAGAGTTTCTTTTCCGGATCCAGAAATCCTTAAAGAAAAAAACAACAAGTAAAAACAAATCTTTTGGTTGGTTTATACCGTTACTTCACATGGAAGTATTTTGGAATCAAGGAAAACGCAAAAAAAACATTCTTCCTAGATAGCCTACTGTAACTCCAGGTCAAGATTTTTTTTTCGCAACCTTGAAAACCAAATACAAATCCTACACTCCGTGGAGCACAGAGTCTCGCTCTTCTCACCCACAAAGCACTGCCCTCATCCTGCTTCTTTGACAGGGGAGCCCACTGCGAGTGTTTGAAACACACTTCGTCCTGCCCATGGCGTCCCTGCTGCCTGAGCACAGGTCCAGCACGTCATTCGGATGAGGGTTCCTAATACTCTGCAACATGAGAGCGTATCACCAGATCTGAGGATTAAGACATTTTTGTTGTTGCTCAATTCTTATATTTGGAAAAAAATAATTTAGCATTATTACAATCTGCAAGAGTTTTCATGTATCTTAAAGCAGCCTCATTATTAATTTTAAAAAAAAAGTGCACAAATGTGGAACGGACCTGTAGAGTTTTTAAAGAGTTTTAACAAATTTTAGGGGCATTTTTAGAACTAGAGTAGTAATATTTGTCATTGTCAAGAAAGATATAGTAGCATTTGTTACTCTGATGCTTACTGGAAACCCCAACCTGGGAATTTATTATGTGAATAAGACCTGGGTTAACTCCATCTCATGTCAAAAGTTACAATTTAAACAAACTGCACCTTGAGAAATATATCAACAGGAGAAAACAAAACCAGAATTCCAAATGTAATCAGACTTGTGTAGTAACTGGTACGCCGATTCCAGTAGAAAATGATTAACCAAATAAACTCTAGATTAGGGCAAGATTTTCACTTAAATTAATTTTCGATTAAATAGTTTTTACAGCATCTTAAAAGGAGAAAATAAATGGTATTTTAGATGTATATTTACTTTTTTCTTTGCAGACCAATAGTGCGCGCATCGATCGTATTGTGTCCATAAATAGCAATATCTCCAAGTCTCATCAAAAGCAAACATTTTAAAATAAACCCAAACAAAATGAGAAATGTGCTTAATTAACAAGGAGGAAATTACCAGAAGTCAGTCGTCTGTTATTCCAATCCTAGTGAAATCATAACACAGGTAAGTTTATTTTCACATTGTTTACAACCTTTTCAAATGATTTTCAACAGTATTTTAGATTAACTGTACTTTCACTTATTTGTTCAGACCAATTTTACATACAGGTTTGCATTGTATTGTGCCCATCAACAGAAGTTTCTCCAAATCATTAACAAAGTAAGAAAGAATCAAAGCAATGGGAAAAAAAAATCAGAAACTTCCAGAAAGACACAGCAATAATAAATCTTTGAAGTCTTCTGAATCCTGGGGAGGGGAGGCTAATTTATCAATACTTCCATGTCTGGACTGCACTGTCTGTTTATGTTAAGTTCAGAAATTGTAATTATCCTTCAACCTCTCTTCCCCCAATGTGGAATTGATGATTTTTATCTTTTTTTGTTGTTGTTGATCAGGCAATTGATTTTTTTCCCAGTTTTGTCTGCTGTCTTTCATAACCATGACAACTGCTCACAGCAGTCAGTGGCGCACAGAGGGACACAGTGGTGCTGTGTGTTGTATACAACATGGGGACACATTTGTGTACGATGTGCACGGTGTGTCCACTGCAGTCTCCCCGTGGGTGTCCACCGTGGTCCTGCTGGTATGGGCACCAATTGTGCAGCTACCATGACACAGCAGCTGAAAGGGGCAGGATAGTAGTAAACTACTGATGCTCTTGGAACACACAGCAATAAATGCTGATCTTCCGCTAAAATTTACAAAGCCCTGCGTGGCTCAAAATTGCAATTTCTGAACTGCAATATTGCTTCCCAAACCACCCCACCCCTTCACACACACATTTTTCCATTGCATTACAAAATATAGAGCCCAGAGCACCCTAGAAGCTAAATATTTCCATCTTGTCTTCTGAAGTGATAAAACAGTAACAACTCAGTGGTTCAGCATTATTTTCTCCCTTTGCATAATTCCCCTGTTTCTGATAATTTCGGATTCTGTAGTTTCATTTTTATTCACATTATTTGAAAATCAATTCATCCAACCTTGCGGGAAAAGAGAAACTCCAGCCAAGACGCTACCGCTTGCGGCTTTATACTCTACTGAGGCAGGGATAAGACATTCTCTCAGCTCTCATTAACACATCGAGGAAGAAAAGAAATCATGTATCATATCAGGATTAGACTGTATTAGAGGAGTACAAGATATGTGACACTCTGAATTTTGAACTGACGCCACCACAATGCATCACATCACATTCCAAAATGTCCCTGAGATGCAATTGTTTTAAAACGGAGAAGGAAAGCCTCTCTTCAACCTCAACTGCGAGATTGTGAAAACTCGGTTTTCACTTTTTTTGTCAGAAACTGCATCATTGCTTAGCACAATGACCAACAAAACCCAGTAATTCCATCTACTTTTATCCTTTCAGATAACTCACCTGTTTCACTTAATTCAATCTCAGACATGTTTTCATGGCAGGAAACAACTGGAATGTTGCTGTTAACACAAATTTAATGGGAGGTACCAATTTACACCATTTTGTTTCCTCCTCAGGTGCTAGAACTAGCGACGTCTGCCGTCTGACTTATCCAGATATCTGAACTACACTGGGAATGGGAAACATGAAAGCTTACCTAAAGTGTGATCCTTCAGGGAATGTTGGCTGTTGCACTGGATGTTCAGTGCAACAAGCAAACTTTAAGTCAAAACCAATGGCAATTATATATCTGATACCCTGGCTTCTTTCAAGAAACAGATGGATGAGGTCCTTGGATCAAATTAGCTACGAATTACCAAATGAGCTAGGGGGCTGAATGGCGTCCTTTTATTTATTTAAATCAGGGATTTGGCTTCAACAACAGGACAGAGCACCTTGTTCAAGACCTCCACAGCTCTTTTTGTAAAGAAGCTTCTCCTTCTCTCCATGTAAAATACACTTCCACATTGTTTCCTTTTGTGTACAAGGCTATTGTATTAAGGTTAACCCCTCAATACGTACAGTTTGAGTCTATGATTTTCACCAAAAAAAAAGATGGAACGTTCCTGACTGTTAGAACAAAAAGTGGGCTTCTTTGTCAAATCCTCACATTTAAAGATCTGAGATAATGATCAACAAAAAATGCATCATACTTGCAATACATATGAGATTAAAAGAAGGATAATCCTGAATCTCTAAATTGCAATCGCCCTTCATGAGGCATGTAGGGAACTCTTTCAGGACCCTTTCACAACATTATGTCTTGCCTCTAGCACTAAGAAAGTACCTGCAGCTCCCAGAAATGTGTACCAAGCAAATCTGTCAGAGCAAATCAGCACAGGGTTGATTTGTTTTACGTCTCCCTGCCTCAAGCAGAATCCAGATGCTAAAAGGAACACATTGATCTTAAAGAATGGATTCCAGCCTCAAACGTAACATTTTTACTGCGGTTTCCGCAGACTGTGCTCTGACAATCTCTTTCATACACAGGCTCATGCAGCGTGAAGGAAAGGTACTGTGGCACAGTAAGTCAATTTCACATTTTGCAGGTAAGTGCTGCCACCCAGTGGCCATTTCAGGGTAATCCTGAATTGAACGAACACCCCATTTCCTTATACAATCAGAAACGGTTAACAGCTGCACGGCGCACACACACACAAAAAAAACAGAACAAAACGTATTTCTCACCTGCTGACATTCAGAAGACAATTAGAAGAGGCCGGCGGAGGACTAAAACATGCGTATGATGAACATCTCCAAAGGCTCTCTTAACTAATTAGGTTTAATTAGGTCTGTTTTAAAGGAAAGGAATGGTACTTGAAAACTAAATTACCCACGTTACAATGCTGTGAGCTGACAACAGCAAGGAAGCACAGGGTACACAAGAGTCTGCACAATTCACATTTATTCTCTTAACCACCTGATGCCTTTCAAGCAAATTAAATGCCAAGATGTTAGATGAAATTTTCAAGGCTTAGAAACTATTCCCTGGGAAACATTCTGTACATTGTGCATTATACATTACCATATATATTGTTTGGTGGAAAAAGCAAGTTAATTTTTTCCAGTATTCCTGAAGTTCTCCAACAAAATCGACAAAAAAAAACATGACCCTAATTTTCAGCAATTTAAGAGAATATCATCCAAACCACAACTTTCCAAACTGCATTGTTGTGCTGCAAAAAAAACTACTACTACCTTTAAAAATGCTGCCTCTGGAGGAGCTCACCCGGTAAAGGTGATCACAGGCTGAGCTCTGGGATCACGGTTTCGAGCCTGGGTCATGTCAGGTTTCACAAGCAGCGAGACACAGTTGGCTGAGCGCAGCCGAGGGCAGGGCAGGGTGGCACAGCAACCCCTGCGGGCTTGTGGGCACCTGCAGGCTTGGGGAGGTCACAGCCTGGGATGCACCTCTCCTCCCACTGGCACTGAACCTACTCACAAGTGGGAGTAGTAATAATAATAATAATAATTTCGTACACTTATGTAACGCTTTTCTGGACACTCCACTCAAAGTGCTTTACAGGTAATGGGGAATCCCACTACCACCACCAATGAGCAGCCCCCACTTGAGAGATGTAACGGCAGCCAAAGTGCGCCAGTACACTCACCACACACCAGCTCTCAGTGGGGAGGAGAACAGAGTGATGAAGCCAGTTCAGAGACGGGGATTATAGGAGGCCATGATGGGCAAAGGCCAGGGGGAAATTTGGCCGTGATGCCAGCGTAACACCGCTATCATTTTTGAGAAACACCCCAAGTCTGTCCACACTTCCTTTTTTCTCTCCCGTGTGCCATCCAGGGCTCAGAGCTGCGAGTTTAGATGTGAAAAAACAGGACTGGCAAGCCACAAGGGGTGTGTATAACCAAAAAAATACTCCGTTTTAATACTCTTTTTTTTAACAGAGGTGTCACCACGCCGCCCTGCCCTTCCCCGCGCGAGCCGGGTCTCGTCCCGTACCTGCTATGGTGTGCGCGTAGAGCCGGCTCCCGAAGGTGAAGACGTGCAGCTCGTAGAGCCTGGCGATCTTCTCCAGGAAGTCCTTGCAGTGCGGGCGCAGCCGGGTGTGCAGCATGGGCTCCCCGCGGCCCAGCTGGAAGTGGAAGATTCCCTGTGGAGAGGAACAGCCCTTTAAACCAGAGAAGAGCTGTGCGGAGGCTCGCCACAGACCGCAAACAAGAGCGCAGGGGAATAGAGAACACCCTCGCAGCCTGGAGCGGATGGAGCTCCACATCCACTTATTTTACATTTTGGATTTCCATTTCCACAGAGAGGCTTCCGTGTGGGTGGCTCAAACTGTAGTTGTCGGGTTTCCTGTCCTCTGAAACGAATAACGCAATTTCCAACCCCACAGCATCATTCCTTCTATCCGTTTTAAGCCATTCTCGCAGGGAAAACTCTGTGCCCAAGTCCAAACACCATCTCAGTCAACGTCTGTTAAGAGACCGGTACTGGGGCCCAAAGAAATGCGACAAATCCATCGAAATGCATTTCACTGCAACCCCTTACCAGCAGAGATTATCTTCCGACAGCGACGCTCTAAATTGCAAGCCTCTGTTGCTTTAAAAGAGGAGGACAAACCTCTCACTGGTGATGTAGGACGGCTTCCAGAAAATTACCTGCTGGCTGAAAACCCACTATTTTATGCTTTTCTCGAAGCACCTATTTGGCTTATAGAAGTTTCGACACCTCAAAAAGAGAAACAAACCTCTGCTTATGACTTGTAAGCTCCTAGGAGGATGTTTGCTGTGAAAACGTTACCATGACGATTACTGAAAAGCTGCACCCACTGGCACGAACACGCTCTCGAGATCACCGGGCCACAGGCTGAGCCACCTAGCGCCATCATACCACAATCCCCCGGGCAGAGCCTGGCCGTCCTCAGTGACCACTGCCCACGTTATTACTCTTGCCCTGTCCACGGTGCGCCACAGTGCTCACCTGACCCCCAGCTCGAACCCGCAGCCACAGTGAGCTCAGACTACACTCAGGTGAGCACTTTTACTGTCTGAGCCACACACGAGGTCCCTAAAACCAGAACCTGTCTCCAGGAAAGCCTAATTAATAATTCCTTACACTTATATAGCGCTTTTCTGGACACTCCAATCAAAGCGCTTTACAGGTAACGGGGACTCCCCTCCACCACCACCAATGTGCAGCATCCACCTGGATGATGCGACTGCAGCCATAGTGCGCCAGAACGCTCACCACACATCAGCTATCAGTGGGGAGGAGAGGTGAGTGATGAAGCCAATTCATAGATGGGGATTATTATGAGGCCATGATTGGTAAAGGCCAATGGGAAATTTGGACAGGACACTGGGGTAACACTCCTACTCTTTTCAAGAAACGCTCTGGGATTTTTAATGACCAAAGAGAGTCAGGACTGGGGTTTTACGTCTCCCCCAAAGGACGGTGCCTTTTTGCAGTACAGTGTCCCTGTCACTATACTGGGGCCTTAATACCAGAGAGACCACAGGGTAAGCGCCCCCTGCTGGCCCCACTAACACCTCTTCCAGAGGCAACCTGAGTTTTTTCCATCCAGGTACTGACCAGGCTCACACCTGCTGAGCTTCAGTGGGTTGTCAGTTAATCACCCCAGACAGCCTCCCCAGGCGCACTGGTTACCTTATTGGACATGCGCTGGCAGTTCTGCTCCGTGGTGTGGATAAGAGTCTGGTCCAGGTCCACCATCAGCACCAGCTTCCTGTTGCGGTGTAGGCGCTGCTGGTCCTCGCGCCCCAGCTGTTCTGCTTGCTGCAGGGAAAGAGGCTCTTAATCACACGGCCGCACAGCGGTCGCAAGACCCCGTGATTCCAGGGAGGCCCCTCGGGACACGAGGACGCGACGGGTCCATGAGCCAGAGCTTTTTTATTTTGGTTTTATTTCCTACCAATAAAACTTGCGTCAAATATTGTCTCCCGGAGCAGAAGAAAAGAATCTACTGGTATCCAGCTGTCTGGTTAACATGAACGTGCTGTAGATCAAAATGCAGTGCAAAACTCAAGCAGTCCCTGGGATCCGATGTCAACTGGATTCACCAGTTTTGACAATTTAGGGCTATACGAGACACCCGAGGTCATCAATTTATCCATTTTTAACAGCCGCTTGGTCCAGTACAGGGTTCTGGTGAACCGGAGCCCAAACCAGCAGACAAGGCAGGCTGCACCCTGGAGGGGACCAATTAACCTAGACGGCACAGCTCTGGACCGTGAGGTGAAAACTGAGCACTCTGAGAACACCCACACGACCGCAGGGTAAACGTGCAAAGTCCATACAGAATGTTTTCCTAGCCAGGACCTGAGAATTGTGTGGCAGCAGAGAGTAATTCCAAGACACCATGCTGCCACCATTGCAGGTTACACTCATTACATTATTCACAAGAAAGCCACAGGTAAAGTTCTGGGGAACCACACCTGGAAGCCATGTAGGTTTAAGGACCTGAATCTCTTTCATCTTGAACAAATATCTCAGGGGTGATGGCTTTCAATGTCCTGAAAGGTAGTGATAAAGAATTCCATTGGACTGACTTTAACCCTCAAGGAAAGAGAGATCAGATCAAATGAAATGGAAGACCAAGAGCATTTAACAGGAGGCACTTCTCAAATCAAGAGGTGCTGGGAGTCTGGATCCAGCAACCCAACCAAGCTGACGACGTGAAGACCCCAAGACCCTTCAAACTCTTTCCTGCAAGGGGAGATCCTCAGATCAATTCTCGACCAGAAGCCCAATGAGCAAGACGGGCCTAAAGGCGTCCTCTCCTTCCGGGTCTCTCGTGTGGGTTTTTCCTTCCTCGACCCGCACCCTGGAGAGTGACGTGGTCGAAGGCTCGGCCCCTCCCTGCCGAAGAACTCACCTCCGAGCTGACCATGAGCTCTGGAACACTGTGGACCATCGACACCCTGGCTGTGGATATGGGCGCCTGCTGTTTCCCGTTTTTGCTTTCTAGCCTACGGAGAACGCAAGGGAGTGTGGTCAACAAATAAAACACCTACCGATTCACACCATCATCGTGTTCTCATTTGCCTCCCATTTCATCCGATATAAAAAACTTCTTCACAAACGGCCTTCACATTTACATTTGGAAGAAATAGCTCCAGTTAATATTTTAGGCCTCAAATCTAGGACCTCGGATTTGTCTGGTGCAGACACTCTTCATTCAACTTTACTTCCTCACCTCATTCACACAGCACATACAAGCCACATACAGGGGAATCGAAGCCATCTCACTAGTGTGATAGCAGACCAAGCCATTTCCTTCTTCTGCAGCTCATCAGTGGTGTGTGAGTTTTTATTAAATTACATAAGGGGTAGTTTAAGAAAAACTCTTTTTGTTTTTCTGATTATAGAAAGTGAGTTATTTCATTTTTATTTGCAGAACATAGATACTGATTGAGCACATCTACTGGGGTGTTGTATGTTGTTTCCAAAACATATCTTCCCCACAATCCCTGGTTGAATTATTTAAAGAAATAAACCAAATTTGTTTGGTATGACTACTACTCTCTATCCTCAAGTTAACAGTAAAAAAAATGTTGCTGTTCATCAGGAAATGCGATTCGGACCCCTTACTAATTCATCTAGGCATCATTTTCTCTATATCGGACAAAGATCTTTACGAGATCTTTTGTGGCTCTTGAATAGGGTTGTCTTTTCATTTTGTGAAATTCCCTGTGAAATGTGAAATAAGTGTGATTCAATGTCCTTTGTCCTCAGTGAGACCAACTGCAGAGCTCAGATGAATATTAATTAGCTTTTGCCATATCACAGTGTTTGGCAGATTGAATTGTCTTACAACTCCAAATTCCAATCCTTTATCCCATGAAAAAGTTACTTTATCTTTAACAGATGAATTAAAAGACACAAAGGGTGCATAAATGGTCATAACAGTATTTAACTGTCTCATCAAAGTACATTCTTAGCTGTATTAAAAAAGCTCTGTTCAGTCATTGTTAGTAGTGTATTCCAGTTAGATTCCATCTCCTTCTTTAAATAAATAAAAGTAACTTTTGCCATCTAAACTGGCCATAATTATCAGCCTTATCTTTTCCACTTGTTCCCATCAGTTGAACTAGGAACTAGGAATGACAATCAACACAATGGTAAAAACAGCCCCACAGGAAAATATCCAATATGAGGTCAACTTCAAAAAGTCCCAGAGACCCAGCTATTTATACAGCACCAGCTAAGACCTCTAAAACCCTCTTATACAGAAGGCAATGATGTTTAAAACAAACATGACATAGCCACAAAAATTCACCCTCAGACATATTTTCAATCTAATTGCAACATATCCAAGATGACAATTTTAAATCTCCCATGAAAAGGCTCTTAGTGCCCGAATTCCAATTCCTCCGCGTGACAGGAGCCTTTTGGCGCTGGAGAATTCACGAGAAAATGAGCCCACGATTATCAGCTCAGTACTGAGGGCAAAGATCAGATATGGTATAGAGCAGGAGAGATCCACATTGCTGCACTGCGGTGCGGAGCAGAGGTGACGTGTTTAGGAGCACCTACTGTGTAAGATCCTGGCCGCATTCCGCACACAGTCCCTTCATGACAATGGGGTGACTGCATTCCTCGATGCGCACCAGTATCGCCCTGGAGAGAGAGGAGAGCAGGCCGCATCAGCACAAGCAACTACTATACCTGTTCACTCCACAGCCAGCATGGTGATGGAACAGGGACGTTACCTTGGGAAATATTAACTCTGCTTCTTTGCAGGGTCAGGTTCTGACTTTTCATAGACCTACAGACATTTGTGTCAAGAGATCAGATTCTCACAGGATTAAGAATCAAGGGGTCCTCAGAGCAGACCACAAGCAGAAAATAAACTGTTGCCTCCAACTGAAAGATTGGTCTTCGTCAGGAAAGAACAGTAAATTTTAATGAATGCTGAAATTAGGGAAGGCAACTGTCAAAATATTAAGTCTGAACATAAAAACATTCACTAAAGAGAGGAGGCTGTTTGGCCTGTTGGGAGCCTGTTAGGTGGCTAGAAGCTGATTCACCTCACAATCTCATCCATCTGTTTCCTGAACAAAGCCAAAAGTTCTGTCTGAGTAACTTGTTCCAGGCTTCTACAACCGTTTGTGTAAAAGAAGAGCCACATGTTCCGTTTAATCTGCTTTTCCCCTACATTTCATTAGCAATGGACCTTACATACACGATGTGGTTCTCTCTCGACAAAAGATTTGACATTACAGAGGTTATTACGCTGACATTAAGAAGAAATTGCGGGTAATACATTTCTGTGAGAATCGAAGCCCCTTTTTTGACCTCACCAAGACAAAGCATCTTTTAATTTTAAACTCTCATTTTATTTTTAAGACTACCAATGTCTTGGCCACAAAAGTTTTTTTCTCCTGGTTCAAGATGTATCATATTTTGCACACTTACTACCCTGGTGTTGAAGTACCTGGACGGATTTATGTAAAGAACCTACAAGAGCAAACGATGAAAGACGACCAGGCGAGATGCCCACGGGTTTCAGTGCTTCTGTGGCTTGAAGCTGCTGAACACGACAAGACAGAAGGACAGCACTACAAGCTGCTCAGTCTCGCACATCACTCCCACAGAATGGCTGCCATCTCCTCAGGCTTGTTTTCTTGGGCAGAAAAGGCTGCCCTGGTATGAGCGTGTCCCCCCCTTTCAATTCTGAATACCCTCAAGACCAGGAGACTCCTGCTACAGACAAGGAGTCTCCTCAAAACTTGCCCTGAGACCAGCCCAAAAACCCACAGACAGCAGATTTACTTTTTCCCAGACTCTTGGTAAAACCTGAACCCTGAGTCCCTGCTATCTCGTATTACCAAAAACGTAGTTTCACATTTAGGAAAAACACCCAAACAGGCATTTGCAGGCTGAACTGGTGTCATTGAGAATGCCTGTGCTAAACGGGTTTTAGGGACTGCAAACAAAAAAAAAACACCCTTGTAGTGCTCTGTGGCTGACTAGGAGATTACCATGGCAACCACATGGAGCTCCATAAAGCGCAGAATCTGTCCGGTCCACAAGTCCATGTGAAAAATGTACACAAACGGTTCATGAAAAAAGCAGAAAACCAGATGTGGCTTTCGCTAGTGCATTTCAAGGCCAGACACCTGGGATTATCTCTGAGCAGCTAGCTGGTACAGGACTTCAGGAAACCCCCTTGATATCTAAAGGTTTCTGGTCAAAGCCCCAGGTACACCACTCACAGACTGAGTTTGCTGCTTGTACTCCATCCTTCTGAAGAGGAGGAAAATTAACATCACACCACACAGGACAGCAAAGAAGCTCCTGATACAGGCGTCACGCCCTCATCTCCAGACTCCAGACAACAGCAACTGTTACACAGCAGTTGCTAGCTCATGTTTCACATGCTTTTCTGGGAAGTATCTCAGGAAAGACCACCTTCAGTCAGCTCTGAGAGAAAAATCGTCTGGGAGGTGCCTTTGTAAACATGCTCAGGTTCTGATGATTTTACCTTATTCTTCAAGCTTTTTCTTGTGCTGAGAAAACTACAGGTAAATACCTAAAAAGATGTAAGCACAGAAATTAAACCTGATCAATGTTCTTCCAAACTGGTCTGTTGGTTTGGATATATGTTATTTTTTCAAATATGTAACTGAAGAGGCTTGTTTCCAAATGAGAAACAGCACATGAAAGGGAGCTGAAGTCAACACACAACAAAATGCACCTCTGCCTGAATCCAAGTTCATCACAATCAGACATTTTCACTCGGCTACACCACACGAAATTAGAAAACTTTTCATCCCCTGCCTGATGAGTAAAATCCATACTCAGACACAATGGATCCCTGCTGGGCCACACTTCTGCTTCCCATATTTAACTTTTTATTTACATATATTAAATGAAAATGACCTGTCTGTCCATTGACCAGGTCAATGCAGTGGATGGCTTCTGAATCAACAGAGCAGCACGACCCAGAGGACAGAAGTGGAAACTATGTGTAAATACATTTAAACCTGAGAACTGGAGGCACTTCTTTACACAAAGAGTGGAGGGAGTGTGGAATCAGCTGCCCCATCATGTTGTTGAAGCCGATACTAATTACCAAACGGACCGGATGACCTCTTATTTATAACCGTTCTCATGATATTAGCATTATCATTTACAGACTTTGAATTTAACTTCATAACACCCCTCCCTAACCTATACGTTCCCTGCTACATTTGCTTACTGACCATCTCTAGTGAATAATCCAGTGTTTAGTTTATTCCATCTGACTTCTTAATCACAGACTGATCAATCTTCTAGTTGAGGTAAACTTTCATGTCTCAAAACACTGTACCAACTGTACTAAAACCTCTACCAATTTCTAAGGTTCAGATATCACCCCCATTCAGCTGTGTGGACTGGAATAATAACTGCTTACTTATATAGAGCTTTTCTGGACTCCACTCAAGGTTCTTTACAGGTAATGGGGACTCAGATGCAATGGCAGCCAGAGTAAGGCAGTATGCTCACCACACACCAGCTATTAGTGGGGAGGAGAACAGAGTCAAAGATGGGGATTATTAGGAGGTCATGACTGGTAAAGGCCAATGGGAAATTTGGCCAGGACACCCCAGTTAAACAACCCTACTCTTTTTAAGAAATACCCTGGGATTGTAATGACCACAGTCAGGACCTTGGCTTTATGTCTCATCTGAAGTACAGCACCTTTTTTTTTTTACTATACTGGGGCAATAAGAGCCCCACAGACTGCAGGGTGAGTGTCCCCTACTGACCCCACTGACACGTCTTCCAGCAGTAACCTTAGCTTTCCCAGGAGGTCTCCCATCCAGGTACCGGCCAGGCTCAGACCTGCTGAGCTCCAGTGAGTTGCAGGGCAATACAGCTACTGGAATGTAAGCAAGTGGACCTCAGCAGACAAGAAAAAAAAAACATTCAGTGTCACTCCCAACTGTCTGTGCATCAAACATCGATCACATATGAAGAACTATTCAGACAGAAAAAAAGGCACGAACTCTTAAGGGCTTTGTTCTGTATGCTGAGTATCCAACAGGTGTATTAAGTAACTAAGAACGTAATACATAAATATGTAAACACAAGTCTAAAAGAACAAGCAGATCAGCTCAATTGGGATGAAAGCAGGAGAGACAGGGAGCACCCAGGACCAGGGTTTGGGACCACTCACTGGAAAACAGCACGTCAATGAACCATTACAATCTCAATCTGAACAGCACCTAAGATTAGGACAGTAACAGCAGAGTTTGACAGAAGAACTAAGTGAATGATAAACCGCCCGGCTGTGCTTTAGCTCGACGCGGCAATGTTGACAGAATACTAAGTCACGTGACGCTGACAGCTCCAGCACGCGGCCCTGCCCCCCACCCCGTGAGCAGTTTCCACAGACGCTGCTATTGCGACTCGTCCTCTGCAAAACAAAATGCTCGTCGGTGGCAATTCGGGAAGACCCAAGCGTTGTTGCACTCCAAAACTCGGCACGAGTGGCAATCTGGGCTGGAAAAAACATAAACGGTGCCATTACCCCTTAAGAGCACGCGTACAAACACACCCCCTTTTCGTACAACAAGCAGCTACACACGTCTTGTGCAGTAGGCCTGGCGAAAACACTGCGCTGTGCGCTTTCCCTGGGCATTTAAAACGCGCCATCTAGATAAAAAAGACAATTGTAAGACCGTCTGCACTAACTTTAACTACGTCTCACGCACTAAGATGTTAAGGGGTTTGTCTTCGAAACGCAAGACGCGGCTCCAGACAACTTGAGCTTTTCTTATTTTCAATCTTGGACCACGAAGTTATAAGTTTTCAGTTAACTCAACACTCCCCGTACACTTCATCCACACTCGTACAGGAGAACAAGCCGCGCAGTTGCGTGATCTGATGATCACCCCGCTTTCTCTTTAAGCAACTTTTCTCCGGACTACATCAATTTGCAAGTGTGTTCCTACAAAGTTCTGCCCGTTTCGGACAGTTAGTTAAACCCCTGCAGCGCCTCGATACATCAACACGAGCATGAACACTCATTTTCTGCAAAGCATGACTACTGAGCGCCGCTTTCTACCCGCAATCCCCCTCATGTCCCCCCAGCCCACAACTGACCACTTACCCCGGAGAAACGACCTGTCCGAGTTGACAGCAGAGCTCTCTGACCACGCCGGCCCGGTCCGATTTCACCTTCTTCTCCGTCGACCGAGTCGGCGGCCCCTGGGGCTCTGCTCCGGCCTCCCTCTCCACCGGGAGCGGGGCGCACAGCGCCAGGACGGAGTCGATATTCACATACGATCCCGGCTTTACCTTCCACTCCAGCAGCCGCAGGGGACGGGCCCCCGCCGGGCAGCGGATCTCCGTCACCTGCTTAGAGGGGCCCGCAAGAGCTGCGGTACCACCGCCGGAGTCCGCCGGGTCCTCCATCCGTGTCGCACCCCCAGATCCCTCCAAACTTTAGCCGAGAAGGCGATGCGCCCTGAACCGCTGCAGATCGAATCGGAACTGCAGGCGGCTCTCTGCACTTTTAAAGAGACAGCAATCGGAAAGCGAAAAGTGGAAACCAGAGAGCAGCAGCAGATGAAACCAAAGCGTTCAGGTTCGCTCTTCCCGCTCGTCAACAGGAAACACAAGCCTCCGAGAGGCAGCAGGTTGCCGCACCGCTTCCGGGAGACGACGCCGCCGCCGTGGAGGAGGAGGCAGGGGGAAGCGCCTCACAGCAGCTCCGGCTCCGCGAAGCCGGGAAGGCACTATCATTAAGCACCTTATATTTTCGCCCAGTTCAGTATGACGTTTTTAAATGGGATAGCGATTTGGTACAGAGTAGGTCTTTTTTTTACAGCTGTACAGATATTTTTTTTTATCCTGCTAGTGGACGTGCGTCGAAATATTAAGAATAGTGCTAGGTTTTGGGGCATTAAATAGGTATAATAGTGTGCCAAACATAATCCACAATTGCTGTGTAATTTCGTTTACTTTTCAGGACTTGGAGTAAGCTTTGGCAACAAAACTGTAATTATGATGCAAGGTGATGTAACAGCGTGATACTGAATCCCCTGGTGCTCCAGGTGCTGAGGTAGGCGGCGGTAGGACCGGGCTTGCTGCGGGAGGACAAGGTGTATGCTCACGGCCTGGCACCTGTTTAAATCTTGGTCCTGGAATTGGACAGTAATTCAGTAATTCAGATATCATCCATAGTTTCTGAGAGAAAAAACAACTTCGCGGTTACTGGAGTTAAAATTATTTTACCACTTTTTGCTATACAAAGTTACCCTGTCTTTTAAAACGGTATTAGTCGTATTAATCATCGTGAAATGTTGACATACTGCCCAATTTGACAGTTGAATTTGATGCTAAGCCCCTTGGTGACAGTTTGCCTCTTAAAAAAGAGCATAATACAGTATTCTTTGTTAGTGTCTTGCTTTATGTAATGTATATTGTTCCTGGTCTTAAATTAATTCATATTTTAACCTACTGGTAATAATGAAAAAACGATGAGCTGTTACACTTATCTATGTAAGCATCCTTATTTGTTAGAACAAATGTTGATGACGGCCGTGAAGCTTAAACATATTCATTACATTCAGTTAGTTTACCTGTTTGTTGAAATGAAATATTTTGGTCTTCAAAAGTATTGCATTATAAAGAAAGAATAAAGGTTCTCAATGTCTTATTGACAGTAATCATTCTGAAATTTGTGAATGTCTGTGAGTCGACACATCTGTTGCTAGGAGACAATGACTTAAGACGCCTATGATGGGGTGTTTGAGGACCTCTGCTCCTCCTACTGTTACAGAATGACCTGTATTCTGGCCTGTTATAGAGAATAAATGAGTCAAGTAAACATATGATGCTAATAAAATAGGAGGATAAGCAGTTACTATAGAAACCATAAAGGAAATGCAGAAAGATTTATATAGAAAAGTCTGGGAAAACATTTGGCAGATAAGATCACTCTATTGGCCATATACAATTTATTGTATTAGGAATTTGTCTTTTCACATACTCCAACTTGCTCTCCATGGGACACATAGACAGGGAGAGAAGCTTGTGGTCAGAGTGCAGGGTCAGCCATTTATACAGTGCCCCTGGAGCAGTTGTGATTAAGGGACTTGCTCAGTGGCCCAAAGGCGTAGGATTTCTCTGCCAGCCATGGGATACAAACCGGTAACCTTCCAGCCAGAGGTGCAGATCCTTAGCCACAGAGCCACAGCACCACCCTAACATGTAATGTAAACAAGCAGAAACAGTTTGCATGTTCTCTAACCCTTAGCCCAAGCTTTACACATTTTAACGCGAGCTTTGACGTCATGAAACATGACATCTGTAAGGGCTCTTGCTGGCACATTTACTTCTTAGTAAACTGATTTTTAAAAAATTAATTATATGTTTTTTTCCAAATAAAATGGGTTCATTTTAAAGTACTTCACTGACAGTTATAAAGTCTCTTTTTGGTCCAGTATGGCCTCATTTTTAAAACCCAAAACCACTCCATCCCACCTGAGAGCAGCAGTTTGTCATATTCTGATTCGAAATAAACTGTAGATTAAAACCACCTTAGTGCGCTGTCCTTTTCTGCACCAAGTTTCTACCTATTACAAAAACGCTACCCTTAATAAATAAGGCCAGGGAGGAACGGTAATCACAAATCTATAGCTGATAAAGATTACACTTCTATAAATAGAGGCAGCGGTATTCTAAAAGGTGTATGGACCTCCTCCCTCGTTTATTTTGTGGCACCTTCACAAATTTAAAAACCCCAACCGGAAAGGAGAGCAGGAAGTCTTATCCCGTCCACGTGACGTGACGCGTAAATCAGCTGCCAGCTCCGGAGTCACGCTTTTATTTTGAAAGGTTGCTGCCAAGCTAGCGTCGCTTAACGACGCTAGCTTCACGCTAGTCAGTCACCCCACGTGTCACATGACCTCAGTGCGTGTGTAAGGCGAGCCTGGCAATAGCGAGGGGAGGCGTCAGAGTCCTTGCTCGTTAACTATAGGCAAAGGGCGACTGGCAATCACAGCCTGCGTTTCCATATACTGTCCGGGCATAGACTGGTTTTACACATTGTTCTCCTTAGCGACATGGCCGGAGATACTTTCAGAGCGGTAAGCGAATGAACACAGTAAAGATCACTTCAAGGGTTTAGCGAGTTGCATTTTTGAAAGTGGTTGACAACTTTTTCAACGGGCAAGAAAAGAAATGCAGTCCGTAGTAGTGCCAAATGACGGCTTTCTCGTGACAAGTTCACTTTGCAAAATATTCTAAATTCTAGTGTCGTGCTTTTATGCGTGTGAGATTTCGCTGGTACCGAGACAGAACGGGTAGTATTTTTTTTCGGTGCAGTTTTATGAATATTAAAAAGGGATAATGGGTGTCAGTTGGAAGACGCAGTCTTCAAGTGAGGTTAGTCTTTGATAGTGCTGGTGTAATGACAGCAAGAACAATTATTCGCAAAGCTCCCAGTTCACAGTTGCACGCTGTATTGATCATGCCAAATGCATCAGTCTGTAGCAGACGAAAGGGTCCTTAAGAATTAACTGTCTTCCCCTTTAATATTTCTGATGTACCATAAATTAATGTATATGTAGAATACAATATTCCGACCACGTTAATACGTCAAATTGGTTACTGTTTTTACCATCATTGTAGTGTTACTGCATGTCTTATTGCTCTGCTGTTCACCCATTTAACTGTTAATGCGGAAACAGCACTGGTCGCGTTAGTTATTATTACCAGCTTTTAGAAAGGAACAATCCCCGGGAATCTTTTTTAATAACATAAGGTGTGGAATAAACGATCGTCGGTCTTTTTTGCTTGCGGACTTGAAGCTAATAGAACCTTATCTGTCCCCTCCAGCTTCAATACATGGCTTAGGGCAAGTTACAAGCTGCCTTGTGTCGAAACTCTTACAAGGGTGAATGTCAGTGAAGAGACAAGGAGAAAAAAGGGCTGTCCTTCCTTTCGTTTACACTTTCAGCTTTCTCCCAGTTTCTCCCCTTCATATCGGCTCTTGCAGAATGAGACGGATCCCACTGTCTCGGGTCAGGTCCCTGACACTGAAGCGCTATCTTTAAATCATCTGGTTTGTAACAAGATGTTCTCTTAAACTGCTAATAAAAACAACTGTGCCTCTGAATGGACACCAGCAGCCTTGATTTAGCAGTTGCTCTCTACCGTGCCGCTTCTAAAAACATTTCACCCTGTTTGCATGAAAAAGAAAGCCCTTCATCATCTGATCGCTGTGCCCATTTATGGGTGTGGTGCTCTGCATAATGGGATTTGCAAAGTTTAAAACTTGGAAACCTTAACTGTCCTCAAGGGCTTTTGATCATAGGGAATTGGTCCAGGATATTTTCATCAGGTTGAATTGAAAAGGATCTCTGAGAGCAAGAACTTCTCTAAAAAAACACCCCTATATTGTTGGCAGTGTTAAGATATTGCTCGCTCTGGTGTAATGTGTATTGTTGTGCTTTGTGAATTGTTTTGTTTTTTTTTTTTTTTTTTACAGTTTGGTCTGGTGTTCCAGCACACAGAAAGACGTCTGGCTCTGGATTAAGTGGCTCTGTGTTTTTGTGTCCTGCAGTTGCGGCTGTGTCAGCGCCACTGGGCACTGTTGCACCACAACCCAGGCTCTGCCCCACTGGCCCATCTGAGCTCCTGGTCTGCAAGGTGATGTATACCGTCTGCTGGCAAGATGTTT